AGTTAAAGGTAGTACTTTATCTCCACAGCTTTGCTTCAAACACAGAACTCAAATAAAACTCAAACCACCAGGATTGGCAGGAAAAGGCACAAATTCTTTTATTGAAAATTAAAGCTTTCCAGCAACATCATCATCGTCATCATCATCATTAACCGCTTAATCCAGTGTCACAGTTGCAGTTGGGAGAGCAGAGAATCCCAGACAACACTGTCCCCCGCATCTTCCTCCAGCTCCTCCCGGGGGAATCTCCCAGGCTAACTTGGAGATATAATCCCTCAAGTCTTAGGACGACCCCGGGGTCTCGTCCCAGTAGGCCATGCCTGGTACACCCCCACCGGATCAGATGCCCGAACCGCCTCAACTGACTCCTCTCAATGCGGAGGAGTAGCGGCTCTTTTCCGAGCAGCTCCCAGATGACCGAGCTCCTCACCCATTTCCACCGCTTGTATTCGCGATCTCATCTTTCGGTCATTACCCAAAGCTCTTGACCACATGTGAGGGTTGAGAGCTTTGCCTTAAAGCTCAGCTCCCTCTTCACCACTACAGTCCGGTACAGTGACCGCATTACTGCTGCTGCCTGTCCCAGCCTGCAAGGCAAGGAAAACTCCCTAAGAGCAAGAGGAAGAAACCTTGAGAGGAACCAAGACTCAAAAGGGGAACCCATCCTCCTCTGGTCGACACTGGATAGCAAACAATAACACGAGCAAGATGAACAGGGAGTAGTGTAAAATATTAAAATACAGATAAGAACAATAACAGGTAAAGAAATGGCTCTGATTAAATATGTCTGTGCAGCAGCACCATCATCAGGTGAGGTTTGCACAGCGTTGTACAGCGAGAAGCTCCATGATGGTCAAACTGGTCCAGAAGGCTGGCGAGCAGTGGGCACTCGATCAAGGCAGAAGAAGCAACAGCATCAGATGCACAGGATGGGCAGCTGCTTAACTTGGCAAAGAAAACACACAGAGAGACAAGCGTTAATCTTGAGTTGGTCCAGGCAGCAATTGATCAACACACAAAACCCATGCTATTTATACTCTTTTGTAGGCAAGGAGGGGTCAACACCTAACCTCTTCTTGCCTCTCCTAAATATCTCAGACCTTTTGATTTGAACACCATCATCTCCAATAGTCACGTTCACCTTGAACACCCTTTTAATTAGACCATTTTAATTAGTTTTTTCACCTCCTTGTTCTTGTCATCATTGATATCATCATTTTTCTCATCAAAATGCTGCCCTTATTTCCAAGCCAAGAAAGCATATATATATATATATATATATATATATATATATATATATATATATATATATATATATATATTTTCCAGGCCAAAACTTCTATCTATTATTTTTGATTTATGTGTTTCCTTTTTCCCAAAGACAATTTCAGTGTTTCATGATATGAACAGACTCCAGCTGTGTGTGTGTGTGTGTGTGTGCTCCATCAAGCGACTGCCTTTGATCAGGCCTCCTTATCCCAGTGTCTCAAGGCCACTTACAGACACACGCACAGCAACAACTGCTCACCTCTTCCCTATGAACAGCAGGGAAGCTGTGTCTAGTCACAAAGTTAAAGTAAGAATACATCCATTTTCATCAAACAGATCAGACAAATAGTATGTCAGCTCTCAAAGAAAAGCGATTTGTTTTTCATCAGGATTAATTCCATATTTTATTTTGCACAGTAAAGATGAGAGTCTACTCAACTTAAAGTGATACAGTAACTGATTACATGGCTTTTCTTGAGTTGACTCAACTTGAGGACACAAGAGTTCACACAACTCAAACTTCTTAGTCAAATATTCTCTCAGCTACTGTTTCCAGCTCTGCATCTCAGTTAGATAAACAGACCTGAATCTGTGTTTTTCCCCACTTGCTGACGCTCCTTCTATCACACAGTGCCATCTGGCATATTTTCCTCTTGGGATTCCAGATATGCACAAATATGGCATTGCTGGGATTCAAACTCACAACCTCCTTTTGTACAGTACAGTTGTACAGTTTCATTTTTGTGAGTTCAAGAGTTCATTGAGTTCATCCCCTTTAGAGGTGATGTCCCAAATGCATGCAGTCTGCAGCCTGCTCCCCAACGGAGATCTCCAAATGCTCAAGTTAGCTAATATTTAGTTTATTGATTATTAATCAGGAATGTTTCATTAAATATTTCTGTCAGAGCCCTGCTGGTGACATCCTGAGTAAATAAAAATAATGAGTGGCCATGCCATATTAACACATTGGAACAAGATCCTAATGTGTGGCCATGACTTAGTAAGACATGGGAATGAGATAATTAAGTTGTGGCCATGACTTAGTAAGATGTGGGAACAAGATCATGCCTTATTAAGCTGTGGTTAAGGCTTGATTACGTCATTGAGATGAATTATTAGACAGTTGCTTTAAACCTAAAACAACAAATATTTTCTCCAGTGTTCTAAATATTTGTAGACACAAAATCTGAGTTGTTTCATGTGTTCCTGTGCGGCGCAGTGCACTAAGCCGTCACCCCACCAGGAGGTTGTGAGTTTGAGCCCCAGCGATGCCACAGCCATCCATAAGTGTGGACCCAAGAGGAAAAGATGTTCAGCAGGGTTGTGTGATGGAAAAAGCCCAGGCTAGTGGGAAAGTGAATTATAAAAAAAGCATTTTATTTACTTAGTATACTTTATATTAACGGTCAGGACTTCAGGAGTAAGCACTGCTCTAAGAAACACATTAGTGAAGTGTTTATAACAAAAAGAAAATTCTGCCTTGAGGGACATGGTTTTGAAATTTTTTGTTTTACAGCGAGGAATAATTTGGAATGAGGCTTGGTCTTGGCCTTAAGGAGCTGTCGTGACCAAGAGCTGTGCCTTCTGCCCAGGGTCTAGACATATATGAATATCTCTAATATGTTCTTATACTATTGCCCTGATAACTAACTGTAGTCTAACTTCTTTAAAAAGAATTAAATGAATCAAAGAATATTAACAAAAAGTAAAAAAGGATAAAACAGAATAAAAAAGGAATAAGAAAGACTTCAGGCGCCGAGTTCTTGCGGAATGAAGGAAAAGGCCTTCTCTTTATTGAGCTTCAAGTGGCAAGATGGTTCTTAGACAACCACAATGCAAAAATCATCTCGAGGCTTCCTTTTTTATTACCCATTTGGGGTGATGAAGTAATCACTCCACCCCTTTTTACACAATTCCATAACGTCTTAGTCCCCATTGTATCTAAACCCTGCACGCTTTTTGGAAACCCTTAGAACCAAACGCACATGATGTCATTTTAAAAACCATTCTGACCTGGTCATACCAGGCTGTTTCGTCCTCTCAAGATCATTTTACACAGCTTCTTCACCCAAGTTCAGGGGTTCGCTTCAGCTATAATTTATACTGTCGTCTAACAGAATTCCCCTTTAATTAGTGTTTACCTTGGCTATAGTTTATACTGTCATCCAACAGTTCCCCTCCTTTCAACCATAACTTGCAGCTACAGTTTGTACAGTTTCATTTTTGTGAGTTCATTGAGTTCATCCCCTTTAGAGGTGATGTCCCAAATGCATGCAGTCTGCAGCCTGCTCCCCAACGGAGATCTCCAAATGCTCAAGTTAGCTAATATTTAGTTTATTGATTATTAATCAGGAATGTTTCATTAAATATTTCTGTCAGAGCCCTGCTGGTGACATCCTGTGTAAATAAAAATAATGAGTGGCCATGCCATATTAACACATGGGAACAAGATCCTAATGTGTGGCCATGACTTAGTAAGACATGGGAATGAGATAATTAAGTCGTGGCCATGACTTAGTAAGATGTGGGAACAAGATCATGCCTTATTAAGCTGTGGTTAAGGCTTGATTATGTCATTCCCACACCTTACTACGGAGCCGCACTGGTGACAACCTGTATAAATAAAAATAATGCATGGCCACGACTTAGTAAGGCGTGGGAACAAAATAATTAAGCCGTGGCCATGACTTAGTAAGGCATGGGACTGAAATTCTAATGCATGGCCACGACTTAGCAAGAAATGATCTTGTTCCCATGCCTTATTAAGTCTTGGCTCTGCATTAGGAGCTCATCCCCATGCCTTACTAAGTCATGGCCACACATTATTTTTATTTATAGGGGATGTCAGCAGCAAGGCTCCATACTTCCTTATAGGTTTTGCATTTATAATAAAGTCCGAGAAGTGCACTTAAAAATCTTACGTAGACCCAATATTTACCCATGTAATTACAATCTTTCCATCTTTGCATCTCTCTCTCTCTCTCTCTCTCTCTCTCTCTCTCTCTCTCTCTCTCTCTCTATATATATATATATATATATATATATATATACACACACACACATATATTGGTGTTGGAACAAAACTTAGTATCTCCAAAACCGCTTATCCTACTGGGTCGCGGTGGGGTGCTGGAGCCTATCCCAGCTGGACAGGTCGCCAGTCCATTGCAGGGCAGACAGACAGACATACACAATCACACACACATTCACAACTAGGGGCAATTTAGCGTGTCCAGTTGGCCTGACTGCAGCTCTTTGGACTGTGGGAGGAAACCGGAGTACACGGAGGAAACTCACGCAGACACGGGGAGAACATGCGAACTCCACACAGAAGGGACCCTGGTACAATGTAAACAGCAACAGGCATTTTCAAATTATGTCAAAAACTGAAAAACGAGGTTTTGTTCCGACAGCAGTGATATATTTATGTTTAATGTTATTGTTCTAAAGGATTATTTAAAGATTTGAAAGATGTAAGTATACAGTAATATTGAAACACTGTAAAGTTGAAGTCGTATGAGATTTCATCAGCATTAACAGACCTCCAGTGCAGCATTGATTACAGCACTGAACTCTTCGCATTTCACAGAAAAGCCCGCTTGTTCATAAAATCTCCATATGAACGCGCACTGCGTGGCTGCGCTGACGTCACAGCTTGGGTGGCTCTCGAGCGACGTCACGATTCCGAGGTTACTTAAGCTCGCGCTGGAGGCGCCCGGTTGAATCTGGAGTGTGTCCCGCGTGCCAGTGGAGGAGCTGGAGGCGCGTGAAGCGGTTAGGAATGAGGAGCGCCTCTCAGAGCTGCGGTGAGTTGCTGTTCTGTCTCGATGCTGGAAGCGAACGCGGCGTTGTTTACACCTGGCAGCAGGTTCGACTCTGGGTGCTCTGTGGAAAAACGCGTTGTTTGCTTTTCTCGTTAAACATTTGTTTTGCACGTTTGAGGTGTTTGCGCGTTGCCGCCGCGGAGAAGGCGCAGGTTTGCGCAGGGTAACCAGGTTAGCTACGTGTCCGGAGGGTTTTTTGAGACGCCTCGTTTCGATGTGCTGAAAAATGTTCTGGAAAAACAGCTCAAGACAGGAAACTGTGTAGCGGCGCTAGGACCATGCGGCCCCCAGCTGCGCATTCCTCAGGGTTCAGACTCACCCAGGCTTATTTACTGACTTATTTACTGGTTTTACTTATTTATTTATTTACATTGGGAGACACTGAGAGCCTTTCGGTAACACATGGAGCCGTATCAGTTGAGTTATTGCTTACATGTTCGTGAAAATAATAGTAATATTTAGTGTGATGTCTTTTTTAACATAAGAGCGATGGGATCATGTTATCTTTCTAATGCAAATCCATAAATTCACTCATATCAGACTTGCTGATGTCGGTGTGCATCACCCAGGGTAATGGAGTAATCCATCTAGTAGTGAACAAAGTTAGCCCATCACTTTCAAAAAAAGATTGCTTTATAAAGGGGAACTCCACTGATTTTCCAAAATTTCTATTTAACTTAACGGTTAAGGTGTAGACAAAGCCATTCAGAGTGGTTTGGTATGAAAAGCTTCGTTGTAGGGAAACTTGTCGAGTCTGAATCGTTCAGAGTGGTGGTGATAGGAACCAGACGTCTGAAGTGTTGAATGCATCTAAAAGCTCCATCACAGTGGTTCTGTATAGAACCGTGAACACTCAAAGAACTATTTGCATGCATGTATGTTTCTTTGCAGGGTGAAATCGTTCATCAGATTGATGGAGAATGTATATATAGCACTCAGTAACACATGGACCTGTATGAGTTGAGTTATTACTTGACTTATATGTGCATGGGAAAAGAGTAATGTTCAGTGTGGACTCTCTTTTTTAATAATAATGCTGCTATGTTTCTAATGCAAATCCATAAATTCAATCATATTAGACTTGCTGATGTCAGTGTGCATCAATCAAGACAAAGCCATTCAGAGTGGTTTGGTATGAAAAGCTTCGTTTTAGGGAAACTTACTGAGTCTGAATTGTTCAGAGTGGTGGTAATAGGAACCAGACATCTGAAGTGTTTAATGCTAAAAGCTCCCTCCCAATGGTTCTGTATAGAACCATGAACACTCAAAGAACTATTTGCATGCTTAATGGTCCTTTGCAGGGTGAAATCGTTCATCAGATTGATGGAGAATGTGTGTATAGCACTCAGTAACACATGGACCTGTGTCGGTTGAGTTATTATATGTGCGTGAAAATAAGAGGTGTTTAATGCATCTACAAGCTCCCTCACGATGGTTCTATATAGAACCAAAGAACTATTTGCATGCCTGAATGGTTCTTTGCATAGTGAATTCGTTCCTCAGATTGATGGAGAATGTGCATATAGCACCAAAACAAAGGGTTCTGCTGTTACAATGTCAAGCTCATCCATAGATGAACTCATTTTGCTGCCTTTTTCAAAAAGAACCATATGCAACACATTCCGTCACTGTGAAGAACCATTTCACTGTGCAGATGTCCATTTAAGCACGCAAATGGTTCTTTGGGTGTTCATGGTTCTGTATAGCCATTGTCTTTACTAAAGAACTGCTGAAGAACCATCTTTTTCAAGAGTGTGCTGCAGGTCAGAGGTCAGAGCAGCTCCTTAACGTCTGAAATCTTATCGGCTTAGTCACCATGATGACTTTAGTTAGGACGGACAGTGTCGCAACCAAGAGCTATTCCTACTGCCCAGGGCCTGGACATTTATAAGTATCTCTAATGTTGACTATACTGTTGCCCTAATAACATCTTCAAAATAAATTAAAAGAATAAAAAAAACAGTAAAAATGAAAAAGGATAAAGAGGAATGAAAAAGACTCCAGCCGCTGAGTTCTTGTGGGAGGAAGGAAAAGGCCTTCACTTTATTTGAGCAACAGTTGGCAAGATGGTTTCCAGACAACCAAATGCAATGACAGCACATCCCTTTTTATTAATACTCTGGGGTGATGAGATAATCACCCCACCCTTTTACACAATTCCATAACATGTTAGTCCCTATCATATCCAAAATCTATCTTTTTTGGTAACCCTTAAAACCAAACTCGTATGATATGTTTTTGTTTATTTATTAAAACCAGTCTGATCTAGCTCATACCAGGCTGTCCTGTCCTCACAGGGCCGTCTCACACAATCCTCCATATAAGTTTAAAAGTTCACCTTCACTATAACTTATAATGTCATCTGACACAACTTTCTTCTGTGAGTTCAAAAGTTCATCCCTGTCCATGTACACAGTCTATCCTATGTTACCTCTTTAAGAGAGCTCTAAACTCTCTATTCAGCCAATATTTAGTTTATTGATTATTAATCAAGGAAGTTTTTTTTTTTTTTTGCCATCAACAGACAGTACTACAGAAAGAACTGGACTAAGGCCAAAGCCAGACGCTGCAGACGTGACCACCGGCCCCTCTTATTACCTCCGTGTGTTAATGTCGATGTTTTAATTCTGTTTGGCCTTTTTACCTCCGTAATGGTAGCTAATGTAGCTGCCTGGTTAACTAGCTTGGTTACTTTCATTACATGTTCACCTTTCCGCTGTGCGGTACGGTCGGTTGCTAGGTAACAGACAAGACAGTTGATGTTGGACTTCGATTGAGTCAAGTTAAGATTTCTTAATTTGAGATGAGAAAAAATGCTGTAAGATAAGATTCAGAATCAGAGTCAAGCTTTATAGGCCAGGTTTGCTCACACAGGAATTTGGTTTTGGTTACAGGAGCTCACAGTGCACAGTCTCAGACAGACATTTACAAGTAGTGAATAAAATAAAAATAAACTAAAATAAAACAAGCATTCCTACCATCACTCACTCACACACATACACACAGAGTCATACCTGTGAACCTTACAATGTGCAAAGTATGAGTCTTAGTTAAAGTGCTGACTGCAGCAGCAGTTAAAGGGTGTATAGTGGCAAAGAAAGCGATCAGTGAGATCATGAGAATTCCTAAATCAAGATAAGATTTGCTTCTGTAATACGAATTGGTGAAAAAATCTTAGTTTGATTCAAGTTGAATAAGTTGGATAAGTAGGTGAAATCGTGATGTTGGGATTGGAAACAATAAACCCTCCCTAGAGGCGTGAGAGCCCAGTCCTGGAATCCGCCCCCCTTCAGGGGGCCTAAGGGTGAGCGGAGCGGAGCATGTGGTCACACTTTGAAGGGCTTTCAGTTACAGCAGGATGAAGTAACTGAAAGAGTTTTCAGGATGAGCAGCGCTGTCAGGCATCATGTTTAAACTCTCCTTCTGTACGTTTGAGGTTGAGCTTGGCCAGTCAGTGTGTGCCTTCTGTTTTGACCCAAGGCTACTTTGTGTGAAGGAGGGCCATGCTGGTTGCCTTTTAGGCTGTTCATTTAACCCTCCTATTAACTTTTTAGTGTCAAATTAGCCCAATTCTGTGTTTACTGTCCCTAAATAAATAATTGACATCATTTTTTTTGCTTTATATTTAATGACTTTTCCTAATTTAATGGGAACATCTGGGTAAGCATAAAATTAACATGTTATAATTTCACTGTCTTGTACTCATTTTGTATGCATCAGTGTTCTTTGGGGTCATTTTGACTTGTTCACTGTATAAAACATAAGAAATATCAACATTTTACCCCCATCTGTTTTGTTATTTTGGATGATTTTGAGGTCACTGCATCATGCAATTTTATAATCTTCAACAATCTTCAATCTTCCCTCTGCTTTAGGGCCCTAAACTAACATATCACACCTGTAGTAGTATGAGAACCACTAATAGTTCACACCTCATGGGGGAGGGGAAAACATAATTCCTACCAGAACTTTGTTTCCCAGAGGTTTCAATTGCTGAGGTCAGATTGACCCCAAGGATAAAAGATCTTTTAAAATTGAGGATAACCGGAGAACCGTTTGCATGCTGAAGTGGTTCTTTGCATGATGAAATCGTTCTTCAGATTGAGGAAGAATGTGTGTATAGCACAAAAAGGGTTCTGCTATTGTTACAGTGTCAAGCTCGTAACAATAGACGAACCCATTTTGGTGCTATATTGGACCTTTTTTCAAAAAGGTTCTGTGCAGAACCATATGCAACACATTCTCCAACACTGCGAAGAACGATTTCACTGGGCAGAGAACCATTTAAGCATGCAAATAGTTCCCTGAGTGTTCATGCTTCTGTATAGCCATTGTCTTAATAGGAGGTTGTGAGCCTGGCTGCCTTAAATACTACATGTTGAAAGGCTGATTTTACATTAACTCACTCTCACTGTATTTGTCTTGAGGAGATGGGAGCACATGCATAAGAGTTGCTTAGCGGTTTACACTGTTCTTTACCAGTTTAGGTGAAGTATGGATTAGTTTGATCCTTAAGGCCTTAAAGGCTTTTCTGGAGGGAGGATGATGTGGGAGCAGACGAGCTAAAGATGCAAGTTTCTTACAAAGTTGAGTCACAAATTCTTTACCCAAGCTAAAAGTGTGAAAGTAGGAGCTCTCAATATTGCATTTCTGCACTTTTTGAAATTGGATCTGTTGAGCATTCAAGAGGAAATTCCTGCATAATTCCGAGGTTGAGGTGTAAGTGAAGTCATTCAGAGTGGTTGGTGTGAATGGTTCATTGAAGAGAAACTTAACGACTGTGATTTCTTGTGATAGGAACCAGGAGTCACGATGTCTGACACAAATGCATTTTCTTTTCTATCCAAAACTTACGATGAACCTACAGTGTGTCTTCTGAGTTCCATATGTAAAGTTGTTGATGCTAAAACAGTGGTAAATCTAAAAAACAGTCTACTTCGAGGACTGTATTGCTTTTTAACACCCTGCGCACACCTCTCTGC